GGCTTACTCTCTTGATTTTGATTGATGGCTGGTGTTGGCTAATTTTGTTACCGAACGCAACTACTCTTACCGATTTTGACAGTTTATGCCGCCAAAGCAAAATACATGTAAATTTTTGTTTTTGTACTCCTGCTATCACCTTATATTAATTCGCCTTGCTAGATGCCTTAAAATGTATATCAAAAAAATATATCAAGAGTTGACGGGTGAGTCAAAGAAATATTTTTTTTTCACCCGTTCCTCGTTCCCGAAATTTGGACCATATGTACATACCTATGGCTCGATTACTGATGACAACCGAACTTCAGTTGGGTTACCAGTGGCTGAAATGGTATTACAGCTTATTTACACTCAAGCCTTGGTTCAAAATTCTAATAGTCGCGATTCATAATATATATACATTTTCATTTCAGGGCCGTTGCATATCGGTAACACAACTCAGGTTACGTTGCAACCCATAATCGGTATAAATAACGCTATTTTACGAAATGAAAACTACATTTTTATAACAGTTTTTTACCTAATTTGGGCCATTGAATAACAATATGATCTCCTTTATTTTTCCAAAAAAAGCGTAACTCAGAAAAAACATAGTAAACACGTTTTTCGATCGAAAGCGTTTATTATATGTTAAATTAGGGTCACACTGGTAATCTGACGATTTTTTTTCCGCAGTTGTAAATTTGTTTCAATAGACTTTTTTTGCTAGTGTTTACATTCGTAAATTATTTTATACTGGGGTCCCACAGACGTATGCAAATACTAGGTGGCTGTGTGAAAATTACGTTAGCATTTTTAAGTGGTGGTCAAACCCCAGGAAGGTTTTGCTCCATCGCATCGCAATGTTTTCTACACAGGGTTAAAGTTCCCCCCCTTTTTGATAAATATTAGTATTATTCTTCATTACATTTGGCTATCCTTAGAAAAATTTGGCGCTTAATATTTTAGTGGAAATTCTCACCATCTATAAGCCAGTTTTCAAACAGTGGGTCAAAAAGGCCCGTTCTGGTGGGAGTTGATGGGATAAACTGTTCGAAAATAGGAGGCCACCCTTGTTTTCAATCTATAACCCGCAAAAAGTCGTCATTTAACTCAACGGTCTCTCTGAATCTTTAGAAAATTTTTGGGTATGCAGTTTTGTAGGCCATAGAATTTTAGTATGATAAAGTGCATGGTTCCAGTCGCAAAACTCGCGTTGATTTTAGATATATTTTTTTTTGTTAGTACTTTTGCGATTTTTATTAATAACAAGTGCAATTTATAAAAACTGGCGTTGATTTGGACTTTTTTTAGAACGGTCTTGCGCATTTTATTCCTTAAGAAATTCATTGTTATAAAGAAACAAATAAAGAAGTAACTTGTTTCTTGTTAAGAGATTGTTGTAATTTGGTGTAAATAGTCACGCCCATTTTCCCAAAAATTTCTCCTAATATTACTTTCTGCTAAGAGGTCATTGCATTTATCGATTTTGAGCTGAGATTAGCCTAAGTAGTTACTAGTTAATCGCAGTTATCATATTTCATTGTGTTTCTTAGTGGAACTTTAAGCAATGTTCGCACCTAATTTGGTGAGGGTTGGTAATGGGGCTAGGCAGTGCCACGCCAATTTTCCAAAAATTTCATAACTGTCTTATTTCATGTTAAAATTCTACTTCACATTCCAACATTGAATAATTTGGATCCAGTGCTTGCGGAAATATCGTAGTTTTTGCATTTTACGAAAAAACCGTTATATGGGAGGTGGGCGTGGTTATTGTCCGATTTTGCCCATTTTCATTACCAAGCTACATACCTTGGACAAAGGGTAACCTACTTATCGAATTTCGTTGACATGTATACATTTTTTCTCGAGTTATCGTGTACACGGGCGGACAGACAGATATTGCAATTTGGNACGGTCTTGCGCATTTTATTCCTTAAGAAATTCATTGTTATAAAGAAACAAATAAAGAAGTAACTTGTTTCTTGTTAAGAGATTGTTGTAATTTGGTGTAAATAGTCACGCCCATTTTCCCAAAAATTTCTCCTAATATTACTTTCTGCTAAGAGGTCATTGCATTTATCGATTTTGAGCTGAGATTAGCCTAAGTAGTTACTAGTTAATCGCAGTTATCATATTTCATTGTGTTTCTTAGTGGAACTTTAAGCAATGTTCGCACCTAATTTGGTGAGGGTTGGTAATGGGGCTAGGCAGTGCCACGCCAATTTTCCAAAAATTTCATAACTGTCTTATTTCATGTTAAAATTCTACTTCACATTCCAACATTGAATAATTTGGATCCAGTGCTTGCGGAAATATCGTAGTTTTTGCATTTTACGAAAAAACCGTTATGTGGGAGGTGGGCGTGGTTATTGTCCGATTTTGCCCATTTTCATTACCAAGCTACATACCTTGGACAAAGGGTAACCTACTTATCGAATTTCGTTGACATGTATACATTTTTTCTCGAGTTATCGTGTACACGGGCGGACAGACAGATATTGCAATTTGGGTATATAAGCGAATTACATGAAGAAAGTAATATATAGTATGTGCATAAGGAATACTGTGTAAAAATCTTAAACGCGTAGAGCAAACGTGTTAGATGACTGCGTATTTAACAACTCGGGAGATTTGCTCATATATACGTCTATAACTATAAAAAAAAAAAATCCGCCAGCAAAAAACAAATATATACATATATTAAAAATCAACGCGATTTTGAAGTTTGGTTTCGCCAGCACCTAGTCGTCCTAACAGCCAAAAGGAATCGAGATAGATATAGACAAATGTTAACATAAATGCTCAGAATGAAAAGAGAAATCGATTAAGCCATGTCTGTAAGTCCATCCGTCTATCCGTGTACACGATAACTCGAGAANGGTGTACACGGGCGGACAGACAGATATTGCAATTTGGTATATAAGCGAATTACATGAAGAAAGTAATATATAGTATGTGCATAAGGAATACTGTGTAAAAATCTTAAATGGCGTGGTATCGCCCACTTACGCCTACATATGTGTATCTTGGTACTCGGTTTATCAATTTCTAAATCGGACTAAAATTACCGTCACTTACCACATAACGGTAAATTTCAGAAATACGGAAACCCCGATATTTCAATAACTAACTTACAACAATCTCTTAACAAGACGTAAGATTATTGATTTTTGTAAAAAGGGCGTGACACCATCCACTTATGACTACTTAAATAAGTTATCGCTAACCGCCTTATCGATTTCCNTCAACGCGATTTTGAAGTTTGGTTTCGCCAGCACCTAGTCGTCCTAACAGCCAAAAGGAATCGAGATAGATATAGACAAATGTTAACATAAATGCTCAGAATGAAAAGAGAAATCGATTAAGCCATGTCTGTAAGTCCATCCGTCTATCCGTGTACACGATAACTCGAGAAAACATTGAGATATGTCAACGAAATTTGGTTGCCCTTTTTCCAAGGTAGGTTGGGATTAATCGGACAATATCTACGCCCACCTTCCATATAACGATATTTTCGAAATATACAAAAACTACGATATTTCCAAAAATACTGGATTAAAATTCTTGAAAGTTGGCATATTTTGGCATAAAATAAGAAAGCTATGCAATTTTTGGAAAATGGGCGTGGCTCCGTCCACTTATGAAGAAGTGCTATATCCCTGTATTTCCTTCACCAATCCCCACCAAACTCAGTGCGAATATTGCTTAGAGCCTCACTAAGGAACCCGCTGAAAATTTTGGAAATCAGACAAGAACCATGTCTACCTCCCATATAACGGAAATTTACAGAATATCGAAAACTGCGATAAATTAGTAACTATTTAAACTGATTTACTCAAAATCGATATATGTATGCAACAACACCTTAGCGGAAAATGATATCTAGGGAATTTTTTGGAAAATGGCGTGGTATCGCCCACTTACGCCTACATATGTGTATCTTGGTACTCGGTTTATCAACTTCTAAATCGGACTAAAATTACCGTCACTTCCCACATAACGGTAAATTTCAGAAATACGCAAACCCCGATATTTCAATAATTAACTTACAACAATCTCTTAACAAGACGTAAGATTATTGATTTTTGTAAAAAGGGCGTGACACCACCCACTTATGACTACTTAAATAAGTTATCGCTAACCGCCTTATCGATTTCCACCAAACTTGGTCCAATTATTTCAACATATCGTTGTTTGACATTAGGTTTGTTCGTCGAGCAAAAAATTTGTACGAATTTGTACGAATTATCACGATTTTTGCCCAAATCGCGTTCGTGCAGACCAAAAAATTATCCAACACTCAAAAATTGTGAGAGCAAAGTGACAGTTCTCTTGGAGAGAAGTTGCAAATTCTTGCTGGAAAAAATTTTGCCAGCAAGAATTTGCAAACACGAAAAACATGTGGTTGTGGCGCATGGTTGCATTTTTGTCTACAATAATTTGAATAAATTAGTTCGTTAAATTTAAAAATTTATAAACACGAGCGATTTTTTTATGAAAAAAGGAAGTAAATAATTGTTGATATAATTAATTTAGTTAATTCCAATGATTTGAACTTAATTCGGCTGAAAAAAATGGTATTCGCAATCGGAATGCAATTGCAACCAGAGTCGATTTAAGAAACCCGACAGCTAGTACGATGAAGAAATTGAAATGTATGTTAAAGAAAGTCAGAACAACAAGAAATATACATGTATATCCTGTTTTTGGCCATCCGAAAGAATTTTAAAAATTCTATAAAAATTTTTTATGTTTGAAATGCAACCGTGGACGCCAGCTGGCAGCGAAACTTGCAAATTCCTGCAAATTTGCGTTCGTGCAGAAATTTGCAAGTTTCTCAACATGAGAGAGAATTTGAGAGAATTTTTTCTTACTCTCTGATATTTTGAGTGTTGGATAATTCTTGCTGGATTTTCGACGAACAAACCTATTGTAAAAAATACTCTTCCTCATCATGCAAATGGATCGGGTACATAAAGTTCGGTTTCGCCCGAACTTATACTTCTTTACTTGTTTTCTTTAACTTCGTCCATGCGGCCGGTTGTGGATTAAATAACAACTTTAATCGAAGGTGGAAATATTAAAAAGAGCCATGCCCGTTACCCAAATAATGGCTGTTTTCGAAAATGCGAAAAGGCGATAATATTCGTGAATACGCACTCCCGTTTCGCTCGAACTTATGCTGGATTTCCACTAGGCATTACATGGCAAAAATGACAAATGACAAATTTTTGGCATTAAAAGTAATTACGTTAAGAAAAGTGTCATTAGGTTAATTTCCACATAGCATTCTTTTAAATGGCTTATATTTTTTGTCATTTCAATGCCTAGTGGAATTCCGGCATTTAATTCTTACTGTACATATTTTTCTTATAAACCTATTAACCACATTAAGAAAATAACTTCTGAAATAGTGTGTTTAAAAAAATTTTAAAGTTGAAAGCCATTTAAAAATACAAGCAACTCCTTCTAGGGAAACGTTTAAAATGAGCAACTTGTTTTCAACTCTCTTCCCTCTTTGGAAATGTATAACAACAACAATTAACGCAAAAATATGAACAGCATTATGATCGAAGCAGAAAATATTTAATAAAACGCTATGCAATACAAACAATATAAATGTAATTACCTGATCTTCAATGGTTCGATGATCTGTCTCCTGCAACCAAGTACCCAAAATTATAGAATCGTCGCCATGGCAGAGTGCGCGCAGCAAAGAGTTCGTTGTATTGGCTGGATTTTCAGAAAGCGTGAACTCGGCCACCAGCATGCGCAGCAGATGCGTGTACGATGACTCCAATGCATTAGGCGGCAGCAGCGAAAGCGTTTCATATAGCCTTAAACGGACCATAGCCGCTGGGGCCTTCAATTGCGTGCCATAGCTTTTCAATACGGGTGAGAGACTGTACAGAATACAAACAACATAAAAGAAAGGGGGGCGGGGGGTTTGATTATTTAACACCTAATTATACGACTATCCTCTATGTTTTCTATTTTTACTCACTTCACCAGCATGGCGAGCGCACTTTCGATGGGCGTAAGCAAACGCCGAGTTATATCCTCGGTCACTAGATCTGGACAATTTAGCAGGAAACTGTGCATTACTGAGAGTGCACCGGCACGACCCTCTAATGTTACTTGCCAGGTAAAAGCATCACCTCTCGCCTTCTCCGATTCGAGCTCCTTATTAGAACGTGGGAAAGAGTTACGCCATAACAACAACATACGTGGCAGTAAGCCCTTAACCACCGGCGAACCGAGCGTCATTATGGCTCCAATCAACAGCCAACCCGCTTGTGTACGATTCAGGGACATACGACTATTTTGCGAAGCGGAGCGAAGTAGTTCTTCAGCTGTGTTGAAGACCACTTTACCTTTGGTATGCGGTATGCCGAGCGGCGAATACCGCACGCTTCCCAAGATAGCAGCCAAAGCTGCACTATACCCAGATATAGCTTCTGGTGAGGAACGCATCTGCTCGATGGCGTCGACGAAACGATCGATTAACGGTGTAATTTGACTGGGCACCGCCACGCAGAAGCAGCGCAAACACCAGGCGGCCGCAAGGCGCGCTGCTGAGCACGGATGCACTAGCACTGCGCATGTTGCATCAATAGAGTTTAATGTATGATCATGCAATAAACTTTGCGCTGTGGTGCCCAAGCCGAGCACAAGCGATCCCAACTCTTGTAGCGCACATACCAATAGGTGTTGACTGAAGAGTGTTTCTTGATTCGAGTCCTTTGCATTTTCCGGATTGAAGTCGATCGAATTCATTTGCTTGGCTATAATATGTATGAGCTCCTTGCATGCGGATGTTTGCGCCTTCTCACCAAGCATTTTGCCAATAATCGAGCGAAGTATAAAGTTGATGCACTTGCGTGAATAGACAGCGTCCACATGTGACGAGGCAGCCTTTGGATTGGCCACCAAGTCGAGTACATGCATCAGAAATGTGCTTAGATTGCGTTCCAGCCATACGCTGCCCATGAATTGCACGAACACCACGTATGAGTGAGTGACACCGACACGCACCTCACGATTTACGCTCGAACTGCCTTTGATAATCTCGCCGGTGCCCTTGAGGAAGGAGACTCCACCGCGCAAAAAGCCAGACATTAATATGCCCAAGGCTTCGTCTAGTGAGACGCTGCGCGCCTGATTCTTTGATGATATGGGTTGACCCGGTTTCTTGTTTGCGCCACCTGGTGGCTGTTGCGTAAAAGCCAGCAGCGTACCAAGCAGCTTGGCGACCGCGCATCGTACCTCATAATTGCTGCCATCAAAAGCACGAAAACATAACGAAGCCAAACTCTCGAGCTCGCTTTGATAGAGGAACGGTGCGTGATTGATCATTTCGAGCACACATTTAGCAGCTGCGACACGCACTGCCATCACGCGATCCGTGAGACAATGTTTTGTTGCTTTATAAATGTCCTTGTGCACATTTGAGATGGCGGTGCCCATGCCAGCGCAAACCTAAAATGCAGAGAAATTCTTTGGTAAAGTCAAGGCACGATAAAGGAGTTTAGAAAAGTAACAAATTTAATACTAAAATATTGCATGCGCGTTTTGTTTACCTTTTCCAATGTAATCATGATTTCCGCACGAGCCTGCGATTCAGCATTGCGCAGTGTGCGTATGAGTATCTGAACCGTTTCCTCATAGGAGCGACCCATCATACGACCGAGTTTTTCGTACATCGAACCCAATACACAAATTGCAGCGCTGCAAGTAGTCAGATAAGAAAAGAAATGCGACTCATAGAAAATCATTAAAAAGTGGGAAGCAAAAGCTCGACGAGGGCTTATATTCAATACCCTCTATCTGCACTTTTCACAAAAATGAGATTCTGATACAAAAATTCACCTAAGTCTTAACTATCATCGGTAATGCTATGCTGACCTTATATAACGCTTGACAGAAGAATTTACTATTAGATTGCAAAGTCAGAATTAACATCGGTGATGACGGTCAAGTCCCAGATAGGTTCTAACATCACAAAGTAGTTTTTGTAAAATTGCAGCTAAGATAACTTACAGTTTTGTTGGTAAATAGCTGGGAGAATCATCTTTATTCTTTAGTATATCATTGCACGCATTCACCGTGTCGAACAGCATAAAAGTATCACCTACAGAGAAAAGAGTCGCCAAGCAGCTGGCTATTAATTTGCGCGTCGGTGGACCCGGTGAACCCTGAATATGCTCGGTCAATTGCTGCACCAACTTTTTTTGACATCCTTTGATGTCCGATTTCTGTGCAACTGGCAGTACTTTTTCCAAGTAGCGTAGCCATTCGAAAACAAAAACTGGTCGCTTTTGCTCGGGCAATTGTTTTAACGCCTCCTCATTGAGCGTCAAGCTATGTGATAGCTCCATTTCATCGATGTAGGGCTCTGTATCGGCTTCGTCGATGTGACTCGAATCGTGATCGTCGCTGCGGATAAATGATCTGCAAGAAAAAGTAAAAAATCTAATTACAATCAAGAACGATAGATATGCACATATTTGATCCATATATAAGAATTTTGGACTTGGACTTGGATTTTAACTATCGTCAAAAATACGTGGCATACCTTAGGAAAAGTTAACTCGAAAGAAACTCTCTCGGAAAGAAACATGTAGTATTTGACAAGATGACTTACGCTCAGAGTATGACATCTTCGGATAGGGAGGATATATTATCAATGATTAACGTAGTTTTAAACTATAAAATCTTTCCTTTCGAATAGCAGAAACTACTCTAAAAAATATTAAACAATTATCCAGAAATGGACCTTGTCTTACAACATTCGAATGCAATTGGGTATGGTTCTTGTGGGAAATGCGGTTCGATTTGCGAGGCTCTTCAATCCATGAAAGAAAGTTTGATGTCGAAAAGCTGCAGTCACAACGGCCAGCCGAAAATGTTTTTCAGCCGGCTCTCAATCCTGCTTAAGTAAACACCTTTTCATCATCAAAATACCCTGCAGCCCTTCAGAGATGGGAGCAGAGACGCCTTGAAAAAATAATAGAGAGGCAAAATGTCGTGCGAAGAACTACGGATTCAGCAAGAATGCGAATATTCTATTCAAAAAAAATACAGCAATCAAATGACTACAAGAATGGTGCCAACTCTAGCCGCCATTGAGATATTGGTATGGGAATGTGGTAAGAGACGTTAAGAGTACATTTTAGATATGGATGAACAGTCTTTAGCGCTTTTGGTACAGGCGACTTTGGGTCAATGATCACATCGCTACATTTGAACTGAACTGGGAATAGCGGAAAACGAATAGTTGTACTTGTAGTTAAGTGTCATTTAGTCAGATGAACACACACTCGCAGATTGGACCTATGATGTACATGCCGTGAGAATGAAAGTAGCCTATCCACAAAAAAATTAAACATATGAAAAAAATATGTATAATCAACGACATTTTATTGGGTGAAATCTAGATTATTACAGCTTTCTTTTGTTAGCTATGAGATCATAAATAAATTAAACGTGGGTTATAAGTAGGGCTCGGAATCTCGTGCACCAAAAAATCGAAAATTTTTAGCGCTTATACATAGCGCATTAAACATAGGAAAAAATATGTATATCAACGATATTTTGTTCGGTGAAATCTAAGAAAATTATTACAGCGTTCTTTTGCTAGCTATTAGATCATAAAGAAATTAAACGTGGGTTACTTCAGTTATAAGTAGGGCTCGGAATTTCATGCGCTGAAACATCGAAAATATGAACATTTAATGTGTACTCAAAATTCAAAAATATGCGCTATAAAGAAGAAAAATATGCAGTTAAAAGTATTTTCCTAATATTTTATTGCCGGTAACAAACAATTAGCAAGTTTGCCATTTTGATTCCACAACTCGTAAAACCGACAGCCATTTGGCAGCTTTAATGAATTTCAGTACGTCATGCAGAGAGAGGCAGCTGCACTCTAAAACATTGTGCAGGAATGGCTTGACGAGTGTCTTAAGGCTCATCCTTGCGAGGGCTGGACACTTGTACAGGAAGTGTTCGACTGTCTTTTTTGAACCAGGGTCATCGCAACTGCGACAGAACCTGTTGAAGGGCAATCCAATCCTGCAGTAAGTTTGTAGATATCGTCTCTGCTCATTCTTGAGAGAGTTTTGATTTAAGTGGGTCATAGGATACCCACAACTGCCGGGTAATCCTGTACGATCCGGTACAGTTCCCCCTCTGCTTGGCCTTGAAGTGATCAATTTCGGTCATTTTTGCGTGGGACACATTCAGTGCGGAGCCGCATCTTCCTAGTTCGTCCGCTGCCTCGTTTCCGTAAATGTTCCTATGTCCCAGGACCCATATTAGGATAGTTTTGCATTGATCAGAGGCATAGGCCAGCTCTCTCCTACAGTCCTCCACTAGTTGCGATCTAACAGAGGTACAATAGAGATCCTTAATGGCCGATTGGCTATCCGAGAAGATATTCAGATGGGCTCCGTGCATTATGGCCGCAAGAATTAAGACCGCGATCCAAGAATGAATTAAGGCCGCGCGGAAATAAATCATTTTGGTAAGTGAAGTTAGGCCGCGTTCAAAAAATGAAATTAGGCCGCCA